TTATTATTATTATTATTATTATTATTATTATTATTATTATATGGTATTTGGTCATTATTATTTTAATAATTATAGAAGAATATTATTTTGTACGTTTTAAATAATTATTGTTTTGGACAATTATTTTGTACCTATTAAATAAGTATTTTTATTGGCATTTTTAAATAAATATTTATATGTCTTAAGAGAAGGTTTATTTTATATGATATTTTGTTATTGAAATTATATTATTATATTTTGGGTTAGAAATATATTATTATTATAGAGAAAAAATATTTTATAATATATATGTATTTATTTTATTTAATTATTTTGATGAAAAAGAGAAGTGGGTTAGAAGAGAAGGAAAATGGGTTGGGTTGACCCATCCCAATTTATTAATTTTAAGAAAGGAGTCAGGTAGTGTTAACCCTATTGGCCTCATTTGCATTTTGAAGGGTTAGGAAAAAAAAGAGGAGAAACAAAGAACTCTAAGGAAGAGTACTTAAAAACGATCTTAGATCACACCAAAACCATTCGTTTTCTGCTCATCCAGGTAAGGGGGGGAGTGAGAAACCTTACTCTGGGTGTGGGAACGTATGATGGGTAGTGGGATTAGCCTCCAATCCTTTGTTTGTTGTATGCTCATGTATGAGGGGTTTTCCCAATTGTATCTGTTTCATCTATTGTTCCTCTTGTATGTAATTAATTGTATAAATTGCTTGAATGAATGATTAATTTCAATTTTAAAATTGTAATTGTATGATTTGAGATTTTTGTGGGTTCCTATGGGAAACCCTATGAGAAAACGAGCAAAATATGAATTTTTTTGTTTTGCCTTCTGATTGCTTTGTTGTGTTCCTTGTTGGATGTGATGCATGAGTATGTGGTTAATTTTGAAAATGAATATGTTTTTATATGAATTAAAGTGCCCTGTGAAAATTGTGAATATGATGTGATAATTGTAGACACCCAATTTCGTCCAGGGGGCATACAAACAAAGAAATGGACGTCTATTATCAAGGAAAGGAACTCCCACAGCAGGAAAACAACAAGATAGGACATCAGAGGGTCGAAAGCCCAAAATAGTTTTAGTGGCCCGGAACGGGCTGTTCCAAAATCAGAACGGGCCGTTCCCAAATCTGGAACTGACCGTTCCTAAATTGGAACAGGCCATTCTGAGCCACTAAAAGGCTTAAAGACTCTTGGTTGGAACGGGTCGTTCCAGACCAGAACGGGCCAGTCCAAACCAATCCAAAGGCCTAAGAAACTTGGTCTGGAATAGGTCATTCTTAAACCAGAACAGGTGGGCCGTTCTGGTTTGGAGAACGGACTGTTCTGGTTTGGAGAACGGGCCGTTCTGGAAGTGGCACGGGCCGTTTTGCTGGGATTGAGAACGAGCCGTTCCAGTTGAGATTTTTGCGTAGTTTCGAAGGGCCCAGTTAGTTTTTCACCTGATTTTCTCATTCCTTCTTCTCTTCTCACAATTTAGATGACTACGTGTGTTCTCTTGTGAGTGTGGGCGACATTCAAGTTGTCTTTTGAGTCTTGATTCTTCAGGTGATTGTGTGACAACTTTTGTTTGTGTCTGGTACTCCACATGTACCTCAAGCTTCAGCCTTTGTCTGAGCATTTATTGTTAACGCATTGACTTTTCCTTTCATTAGATCAACTTGTATGTGAACAGTCTTTCAATTTGTGTTATCCTTCGTCTGATTATTCAGTTGACTTCCTTTTTGATCTTTGACCAACCTTCGTCTGAGTCTTGTTGACTTCCATTTTGTTTGACCAATCCCCTTTTGGATATTTGTGATGTGCTTTGCCCTGACTCATTTGTATTATCTGATACTTGACCGTCTTCTTTTGCGATAGGCTTGGCTTCGTCTGGTGTTAGAGAGTGGCATATACACATGCTTTGTTCTTTACTTTCCTGTACTAATGTTTTCTGAAACACTAAAACACATATTAGAAATAACAGTATGTATTATATTTGTCTCATTCAAAACCTTGGTAAAAATTTCTTCATCTGATTCAACAAAATATGTTAAGTCAGACGAAGCAATTCGCAATTTCCACTAAGGTTTTGAATATGACAAATATAATACACATTGTTATTACTAACATGTGCACTAGTGTTTTAGAACAAGATCAGGTAAAACTGAAGAATGAAGTATGTATTACACATACTATGAACAAGCATGGTTGAATTGATAGAACATCAGACGATGGCAAAGTCTAAAATACAATTCAAGGCTAAGTCAAAAAAATTGACAAAAGATGCTAAGTATCAAATTGAGTCTGTAAAACCATCAGATGAAGCCTATCGAACAATCAAACGAAAGACATCAGAGCATCAAACGGAGGAACAAGTTAAAACGAAGATACATTTCAGACGGAGTCAAAGTCGTCCATCCTCATGTTTGACCAGGTGTAAAGAAAAGTCAAAGCACATCTCACAGACGGAGATTTAAGTATGAGATGAATTTCCAGACGTAGACAAAGAATATTGAAGTGCATTTGAAGTCCACTAATCACATCATAAGACATCATATATCATCTAGACTCAGAAGTATTCACAGAATCATCAAAAACACAAGAATATTGAAGAAAAATGGTCGATTGTGAATCCACAAGTCAAGGCTGTGTGTGTCAGAGAAAGGACACCTACTTTTTAGAGAAACATAACACTTTGTAGCTATACTAACAGAAAGCCAGAACAAAATTGCTTAGGTTATGATTGAAGTCAAACATTGAAGTGAACAAACTACACAGAGAAACTTCATGTAACAAAAAATCAAGAACCAAACACTTAATACAAGATCAAATACATTAAATGAGAAGATTTGCACAGCCATGAACGAGCTACTATCTGCACCAACGGAAAGCTCCGCGCCAACGGGAAAATTCATCAAAGAGGCTATAAATACAAAGACAAAGAAGAAGAAAAAAGAAGAAAACAAAAAAAGGGCAACGTGCAATAAGAAAAAGAAAGCGTCGAACCATAACTACATATTTTTGGGTATTTTTGCATATCTGTGTAAAAATTAAGATAACTTATCTTAGTGAGTGTTCAAAATATCCTATCCTCTCTACGAGAGTAACATACACACTTAGAAACATATTCTTGTAAAACTAAGGTTACGTACCTTAGTGAGTGTAAAAGCTACCCTATCATCTCTATGAGTGTTGCAAACACAAAACCTTCATTTACTGTAAAGCTTGAAGAGGCTATCTGAAAGAATACTTGTAAACTAGAAGTGGTTTGAGAATACTAGCATTAGTGGGTGAAGCTAGCGGGTCAGAAGTGGTCAAGAATACTTGGAGAACCAGAAGTGGTTTAAGAATACTAACGTCGACGAGTGAAGTTGACGAACCAGAAGTGGCTGAGAATACTTGTAATCCTCTATGATTATCGGTACCTTTTAGTTGAAAGAGACTAGACGTAGCTTAGATTGAGTGAACCAGTATAAAACTTTGCGCATATCTTTTCTATTTCTTAAACAAAATTGTATTTAACCATTATACTATATTGAGAGCTTTGTCAATTACTTATTTTCATTACAACAAATTTTTAAGACAAAAACACTAAACATTTTTGTGGAAAAACGATAAATTATTTTAGACGAAAAATATATTTACCCAACTTATCTCTTTAAAGAATACTTCTTTTGAACAAATGATAAGTTTTGTTGGACACAAAAGTTTTCTGTTAAGCCAACTTTGCACGTTATCAAAGTGTTCAAATATCATTCTTATCAATCGAAAATGAGTACTCTTGCGAAAACATTTCAAAAATCTTCCTTCGAAAGCACACACACATTCAACCCCTTTTTTTTGTATTTTCGCTAACTTCAATTGATATCAGAGCTTGACCCCTTGGGTTGAGCATCTAACACTGTAGGCAAAATGATTATGGAGAACAAAGGACAAGTTGTGAATCGTCCACCTCTCTTCAGAGGTATAAAAAATGACTATTGGAAACAAAGAATGATTGCATTCTTTGATGCGTGTCATATAGATATGTGGGAAGTGGTTGAACAAGGGAACTATATTCCACTAGATGAAACTAGTAATGAGATACCGAAATCACGATGGAATGAAGAGCAAAAATAAAGATTTGTGCTAAACTCAAAAGCTCGCAATGCACTTATGTGTGCTCTGTCTGAGGAAGTGTACACTAAAGTTCACAGCTTCAGGAGTGCCAAACAAATGTGGGATACCATAGCTCTGACCTATGAGGGATCCCTAGAGGTAAAATGCAACAACCTAAGCTTTTTGGCACGTAAGTATGAACTCTTCAAGATGGGAGAGAGTGAATCTATTCAAACTATGTTTGGAAGATTCCAAACCATTGTCAATGAACTTTCCTTCCTAGGTAGAACTTATGATAACTTTGATCATATTGACAAATTACTTCAGAGTTTACCCAGGAAATGGAGACCACAAGTTATAGCCTTGAGAGCATCAAAGAATCTAGAAATTCTTTCACTGGAGGAACTCATTGGACTACTCAAAGTCCATGAACTAGAACTATAGCAAGATTACGCTGGGAGAAAATAGAAGTCTATTGCACTAAATGTGCAAAAGACAAAGTCCAAACTATTATCCTCAAAAGCCCTGAAGGCAGATGAGACGTTTGATGAAAACTGCAGTGAAGGAACCTGTGATACAGACGATGAGATATCTTTCTTATCAAGAAAGATCCACTCAATGATGAAGAAAAAGGAAGGAATACGATGGAGAAAATACAGCAGAACTCCTAGAGAAAAAGCACAACCATTGTGCTATGAGTATAAGAAACCTAGACATTGCAAAATAGAGTGTCTAGAACTAGAGAAAGAAAAAGAAAAAAAGAAGAAGAAGTTGATCTCCTTCAAAAAGAAGAAGGCCATGATGACCACCTGGGAAGATCTAGATACAACATCATCTGAAGATGATGTAGAAATAAACATATGTCTCATGGTAGACACAGACTCATCATCCGAATATGATGATGAAGAGGTAAATGAATCTGACTTTAAAACTCTTGAGCATGCATATAATCAACTTTTGTCTGATTCAGCTAAAATTTCTACAGCTTATAAGGAATAAAAGAAAAAGATTTCTGAGTTACTTGAAGAGAATCTTGTTGAGATTCATGGAGTGGTGAATCAACTCAAACTTGGAGAATGAAGGTTTTGATGATAACAAAGTGTTGATTCTAAGAATCAAGGTTGACCAAGGACATCAACAAGTCAAGAAGAAAATATGGCTATTATGATGTGTAATAGGAGTATGTAGCTCATAAGTTGTATTGTTTTGTTGAGCTTATTTTGCATGTGTGTGCTTTGTGCATGGGTTAATCTTTATCTAATCTGACTAAGAGTGAGTATGATGATGAGTTAGAAACTTGAAAAGTTATTTTGAGACATAAAACAAAGTTTTTAAAAACTAACTCAAAATAATCGGTTATCATTAAATATAATCGATTATTCTAGCAACAGGTGAAAAGGATGCCTTGCTCTAATAATCGATTATTTGTGAAATAATCGACTATCCCAGGAATCGCTCTCTGGAATAATCGATTATCCTACAAAATAATCGATTAATCTATTCTTGGTTGATTTCTAGAAATCATGAAGAACAAAATAATCGATTATCCTTTAAAATAGTTGATTATCTGGTTCTGAAAATGTTATAAATAGTTTTCACATGTTGAAACTTCAGAACAAGATAGAACAAAGAATAAAAAAGAGAAAAACGTTAGTGTGAAGTCTTTGCGACCTTCTTGGAGTGCTTTCTTTATGAAACCAAGAAGTAAAACGTTTTTGAAATGCTTTGAGAAAAGATCATCATCATCATCACATTCCTGAAAGAGAAAGATTAAGATTTGCTTTTGAATTCACTATCTGATTTGTTTAGCTTCCAGGAGAATTCGTTCCTTTAATTCTTCTTGAATAATTGTAAATCTTTAGTAGGTGTCTCAAGTGGTAAGGAATTCTTCTAGTGGGTTTCTATAAGAGGTGCTTTCTTGGGGTCAAGAAAGTGATTATCTTGAATGTAAGAGTGTATGCATGTGTGGTATGCTTGTAAAACTTCTTCATTAAGATAGTGGAACAAATCTTCATCAGGTTATGATTGAGGACTGGATGTAGGTCACATGTGGAGTGGCTGAACCAGGATAAAAGACTTGTGCACAATCTTCTCTTACCCTTATCTTTTACTTTGAGTAATATCTTGGATGTGTGTTAAACAGATTATTTTTTATTAACATGTTTGTATGCAAAACATTGCTTTAAACTGAATCAAAGTGTTGCATATTGATTTCTCTCAACTTTGAAGTTTATTAAAGATTAATCAAGAAAACATATAGGACTTATTTTCATTAACAAGTCTTTAAGGAACTTCTTTGAAAATTCATATTTGAAAAGTTTGAATTGAAATAAAGATCCTAAGAACTCTGAAAATTTTTAAAGAGTCATAGAATCCAATTCACCCCCCTCTTGGATTGAGCCATTCTTTTCTAACAAATCTTCTTCTCAAAAACGAAAATGCAAAGTTACTAAAAGAACAGAAAAATGTTTTTCAACTTCAGAAGAAGTGAGTAAACTTAACAAAGAGATTGATTCATTAAAATCATATTTGTCAAAATTCACTCTAGGAACTAAAATTCTTGAACATCTTTTAAGATATTCTAGGAGTGGAAATGATAGATCAGGACTAGGATATGTTGAATCTAAATCAGAAAATAAAACAAGAACATATGTATATTCTTCTTATGGGAATTATGGACATTCTACGTCCAAGCGCAGTCACATGCACAAAAAGAGGTATTTCAAAACCTCAAAAGCTAACACTCATGGACCCAAATCCATTTGGGTACCAAAGACTAAAATAGTCCCTGTTGCACATTTGTTCAACAAGAACAAGAAATGTCTAGTCATGGTACCTGGACACTGGCTGCTCGCGACACATGACAGGCGAAAGATGTATGTTCCTAGACCTTAGGTCCAAGAAAGGAGGGCAAGTCACATTTGGTGGAGGACAGAAAGGATAAATCTTGGGGATAGGTAAAATAGGTATCAACTCCTCTATTTCCATTGATAATGTCTTGTATGTTAAAGGATTAACACATAACCTACTAAGCATAAGTCAATTGTATGACAGTGGTTATGCAGTATCCTTCAACAAAGATAAATGTACTGTTAGTCAACCTGATTCATCTGTATTATTCACGGCTAATAGATGCAATAACTTGTATAAGATAATGCTTAACGAACTAGAAAATCAAAATGTTGATTGCCTAATTTCATATGAAAACCAGTGGCTCTAGCACAAGAAGCTTGGTCATGCAAGTTTGAGATTAATCTCAAAACTAGAAAAAGCATAACCTCATAAGAGGTCTACCAAATCTTGTATATCAGACGAATAGCTTATGTGAATCATGTCAAAATGGGAAGCAAATTAAAAGTTCATTTCAAAGTAAAAATCATGTTTCCACCTCTAGACCTCTTGAACTACTCCTCATAGACTTATTTGGTCCCACTAAGATAACATCTATCAATGGTAAAAGATATGGACTAGTCATTGTTGATGACTATACTACATGGACATGGGTGTTGTTCATAACTCACAAGGATGAGTCTTTTAGGGTATTTCATGTATTCTGGAAAAGGGTTCAAAATGAAAATGGAATATCAGTTGCCTCTATTAGAAGTGATCATGGGGGAGAATTTGAAAATGAACAATTTCAAGAGTTTTGCAAAGAAAATGGAATCAAACATAATTTTTCAACACCTAGAACTCCACAGCAAAATGAGTTGTAGAAAGAAAGAATCATTCTTTACAAGAAATGGCAAGAACTTTGCTAAATGATTTTTCTACCCCAAACATTTCTGGGCAAGGCAGTTAATACTTCCTGCTATGTTCAAAACAAAATATATATAAGACCCTTGTTAAAGAAGACTCCTTATGAACTGTGGAAAGGATGAGCACCCAACATATCATATTTTCATCCATTCAGATGCAAATTTTTTATTCTAAATACTAAAGATAACTTAGGCAAATTTAACTCAAAAATCGACGAAGGTATCCTACTCGGATATTCTGAAAGGTCAAGATCATATAGAGTTTTCAACAACAGAACCAAAACTGTTGAGGAAGTTATTCATGTTAGATTTGACGAAAACAAGCCTGATAAAGAAATATCATAACTGGGCAAGCTGAGTTCAAGCTATTCAAGAAATATCTTTGAAGAAATATCTTTGACGAAAATGACAGACGAAGTGATGGAAGACTTGTTGGAGACCCGGATTGATGTT